AGACAGTCATTCATTCTGGAATATAATGAAAACGACAAACAGCGCAAGAAACAGTTTTATTGCGTTATACTGGTACATTTATTCCCTAAACCATTAAGTCTTTGAATTCAATGTGCATATCATCTGAGCAACAGTAAAATAGTTTAGTTAATTGAGGACATTAAAAGAGACTTGAACAATTCTAAGGAGCACTTGAATCGTCCTTGAATTGCTTTGTTAAAAAAATTATGTCATTTTATTGTATAGATTATAATGTGTTTTATTTTAACGAGAAAGAGAGAGAGAGGAGGGGGGGAGGAGAGGAGAGAGAAAAGAAAAACGGGTGAGAGAAGAGAGAGAGAGAGAGAGAGAGAGAGAGAGAGAGAGAGAGAGAGAGAGAGAGAGAGAGAGAGAGAGAGAGAGAGAGAGAGAGAAGAGAGAGACAGACAGACGGAAAGGGTAAGAGAGACAGAAAGAGAAAGCGAGAGAAAAAAGAGAGAGGGAGGGAGAGAGAGAGAGAAACCTATATTGTAGAGAACATACCTTGTACAACATAGAAAGGCAAGTCATTAATCTTATTAAGTATGATAACCGGATAACCTTCATACCAAAGTCTACTATCTACGAAATGCCTTCAGTTACATTTTCACCATCGATTAAGGGTTAAATTATATTCATATCAACATGATCAAATATTTTACTGTCAGTCAAATATACATTTCTATCTCCTAGCAGAAATATGAAACATGATAACCAATAAACAGCAAATTTCATAAAACACAAAATTTGCAATATCGGAGATTGAAAAATAACGTGTCATTGACAAGAATAATAATAACACGAGGAAATTTACCATAAATAACTTCTGTTATTCTAAAATAACGTCGAAGGAAATTCTTCCACCGTCACCTTAAAAGAGAGAGAGAAGTGAGGTAAGAGGAAGAAAGGAAAAAAGAGAAAGACAGAAAAGGGGAAAGAAAAAGAAGAAAAAAGGGAGATCGAAGAAAAAAAGAGAGAGAAAGAAAGAAGATAAAGAGAGAGAGAGAAAGAAAGAGAAGAATAAAGAAAGAGAGAGAAAGAAAAAAATAAAGAAAGAGAGATGGAATAAAGAGAAGAAAGAGAAAGACTGAAAAAGAGAGAAAATGATAAGGAGAGGGAGAAGCGCAAACCATCGACACCTAACCCATTATAAGCAAACAATCCAACACAAACCACACATTAACCATAGTAATTTCTCCGACGTTCACAAACAACAGGCTTCTCGTGGTGACAGGCAACGTCATGCCACTTTATACCATCGTTGTAGAAGTTGTTCAGGACAGCCAAGCAGAACTCTTGTCCATTTTCGTAATTGTCAGGTTGTTGGTAGCCAGCACTGGGTTGAGGGACAAGGATAAAGTATAAGGTTATCGGTTGTTGAATGCTTGGATTGGGTTGTGTGGTTGGTTGATGGTTCTGGGTGTGTGTTGTAGAGGGTTGGAGAAATTGAGGTGTATCACAGTTAAGGGATAGTAGATATTCATGTTTTTTGTTGTTGTTGTTGTTGTTTTTTGTTTTTTTGTGTGAAATTGGTTAGCGACTGTTTTACTTTGAATATTTTGCAGTAAGATCACTTTTTCGGTATTTGGTTAGTTTGTGAACGAATTAATGTTATATAGAATTATATTATATATATGTATGTGTGTTGAATGCGTGTGTGTGTATTTCGTTTAGTAAGTTAGATTCAAAGATCTCCGTGGATTACAGGTATATGTATTCCACACAATGGAATGATATATTTCTAATACACATTTTTTCTGCTTCATCATTCCTAGTTTTTGAGACGTTTATAAAGAAAAAAAATAGTTGGCTCTGTACAAGCATTGCAAGAAATACAAAGCAAATAATAAATCAAATAAGCACACGGCAAAGATACAAAGACTCACACACACGAAAAACAAAACAAAAAAAAAAAAAAACTACGGTACAAAACAGTGTCCATGTAACTCACCTGCCAGTGTATGACCAATTGAGACCGTAAAATTTTGACCCCGAAGGCCACGCCCAGTTGTATCCTGTTCTATAACCTCCTGTCCAGATGTATTTGATGTAGTCTGTCAGAGAAAAAAAACAAACAAACAATCAAACGAATAGAATAAATGTATCGTTGTTGCTAAAGCTAAATGGCTACTGGTTGAGTAAAATAAAAATTATATATGCTAAAGACAAAAAGAAAATATGTATTTATATATCTATCATTCTTTGCATCTACGTATATACATCTATATTCATATTTATTTATCTGTCTATTATTTATCTATCTTTCCATCTGTCTATTTATCATCTATTTATATCAAAATAAGCGTATTTTTTCTGAATTACTCAAACACAGCTACCCATGATATGCATCACAATTCTGCAACGCATATACAATACTATACCAAGGCGCCCTACAACCTTTTGCAAGAACGTGAGAAATATATTTATCCTCCTCATAGCTCTCGATGCTGATACCCTGCCACCCATGGCCGAGGTTAGCGCAGTATCTGTTGGCATAATTCCACGAGTACTTCTGGCCTCCGTCATGACGCCAGGAGAAGTGGTAGTCGCTGGCTCCGAAGGTAAGGTCCACCTGGGATTTTAGGTTGTTATATTTTGGAAGGTGACGCGGTATAGTTAGAATACTAGCTAGATTCTCATATACATTCAGTGGGAATTACCACACGTGCAGCTGTCAAATGGCGAATTAAACTTAAAAATCTAACTGGCGTATTTATTTTATGTTTGACTACTGAGGTTCTGGTATCGATGTCTGTTCGTGTTAGGTAGATAATGTTTGTTGTTAGTTGGTTTGGTATATTGTAATATTCAACGACGTATTTATTTTTACTTTAAATGTATGTTGTTGTAAGTGAAGTTACCTGAAAATCAGATGTAATACCCGCTCTTACTGATGATGAGACTCACTTGTTAGTGATAGGTGTTGGTGTTTGTTATAATGTATATTGTTATTTAACTCAATATAGTATTCAATTTGCGTGCAATATCATGAAGGTGAAAACTAACATCAAACGAGACGGAATAATGTAATCTATCAATGATATGTGCAGTATTTTCACACAAACTGAATGAACGATATAAATTTAAACTAAAATTTAGTGATCACTGAGTACTTACTATGCCGTAATTGTGGGCGTGATGGTAAATGACAGATTTTCCATGATGGTGAGGCACTGTCACTGTCACTGGCCTGTGTACAGCCACTGTTCCATGGTCTTCATAACCGTAACCGCTGATGCCGACCACAGATAAGGCGCAGGAGAGTAAGAACAGCTTCATCTGTACGAGATTTTTTATTAAAATGCTGGTTAGTAGTGTTTAATTTAAATGCTGGTTAGTAGTTAAATTAAAACGCTGGTTAGTAGTGTTTAATCAAAATGCTGGTTAGTAATGTTTAATTAAATTGCTGGTTAGTAGTATTAAAATTGAAATGCTGGCTAGTAGTGTTTGATTAAAATGCTGGTTAGTAGTTTTCTGTTAGGTAATGCACACATAGTTATATTCAGTTACTCCACGCTCTTAAACACACTCATCATCATCATCATTAGGAGCTAACGCCGACGGGGGCGCATAGCCTCGTCCACCTTTTGGAATCCCTCATGGCAAGCCGCCAGGCAGGGACTCGGCCCATCTCGAGCTCCTCCCGACAGGTTTGATCGATCTGCCCAAGCCACGACCTCCTAGGTCGTCCCACAGGCCTCCTACACCCAGGGTTGTCTCTTACAGAGACAGCCTGATGAGCAGGATCAGCCTGTGGAAAGCGAGCCAGGTGGCCATATAGCCTGAGTTGGCGATCGCGGATTGTGCAGGTAATAGGTCCTGTGCCAGTCTCACGGTGCAACCGTTGGTTGGACACATGGTCCCGGCAACAGTACCCCATGATCCGGCGCAAGGACCTATTACAAAAGGCATCAAGACGAGACTCCAGGGCACTGGATAATGTCCAGGTTTCACTACCATAGAGCAAAACTGGTATTATCAGGGTCCTGAAAGCCCGTAGCTTGGTCCTTCTGCACAGGTACCGGCATCTTCAAATACTCTTGTCGAGAGAGTTCATGACCCCTGCTGCCAGGCCAATCTTTCTGCTGATTTCCTGGTCTGACAGCCCAGAGTTATGAGAGTTACATATCTTGGTAGTGCATACCAAGATATGTAAAGCTCTCTGTGACTTCAATGCCTTCGCCGCAACCACGTACTGACCGAACAGGTTCTCCTAGCAAGTCCCCAAAGTCCTGGATCTTGGTCTTGGTCCAGGAGACCTCTAGACCCAAGGGCTTCGCTTCATTACTAAATGCATCGAGAGCCACCACTAGGGTTTCCAAAGACTCAGATAGAATAGCAACATCATCGGCAAAGTCAAGGTCTGTAACCTTAACGTAATGACTTTGAACAGTAGCTCTGCCTAGTATCCAGTCCATGCAAGTGTTGAAAAGTGTTGGTGCAAGAACACAGCCTTGCCTCACACATGGACTGACAGGAAAGAAGCTCGACAGGCCCCCACCACACTTTACAGCACTTTCAGTACCAGTATACAGGTTTGCTATTAGTTCAGTAATCCTTGTTGGAATTCCTCTCAATCTTAGGATCTCCCAGAGTGATTCCCGATCCACCGTATCGAACGCCTTCTTGAGGTCGATGTAGGCTGCAAGCAGCCCGCGTCCGAACTCACGATGGCGCTCTACAATGACTCGAAGCGCAAGGATACAGTCTATTGTGGACTAACAAGGAGTGAATCCAGATTGCTCCGGCCTCTGATGTCTCAGTAGATGGTCTCTAATATGCCTCAGATGGATGTGGGCAAGAACCTTGCCTGGTACACTGAGCAGTGTGATGCCGTGGTGATTGCTGCAGTCCCTTCCAGAGAGTAATGATCATACCCTTCAACAGGTCAGGGCGAACAGTACCGGACCTCCAGATGGCAGCCAAGACAGCATGCAATCCCCGTGCCATAGGTTCACCACCAACCTTTAACAGTTCAGCTG